CAGTAATTTTCACGCACCTTTACCATATAGCTGTAGTGTATCGACTTTGGTTATCACTTTGGATGAGCTATTGTGCGCGTTCATATTTATTTATTGCATACAACCACTTTCTACGGCCTTGATATGCCGAAGACAACTCGCAGTCATGTACTCACCAGTTCATAACATGACTGCATTGTTTGAAGTTCATTACTTATTGAAAAGATCTAAGCATATATGAAACATCAATCTTCGGGCAGGCTTTTAAAGCAAGCATGTGCACGAATAGGCAAAATTAAACTACATTTTACCTTGCGATAAAACCAATGGCTACATTTATATGCTGTTCATTCTAAAATATTATGTGTACGCATCCCAGAAGATCTAACGATGGCGCAAAACTATTCCTATGCCTAATAATAATATAAAAACGTACAGTAGAGCCACTTACTTCTATATGGTAGACAAACGGCCAGCATGACTGAACTCAGCAAAGATAATGACACCGACCACTGTGATACATTAAGTGTCTAGGTTTGGTTCATCTACGTTAGATTGTCGGAGCTGGTAGCGCCTCTTTGTGTCCGCCTAAAAGTTAGAAAAAGCAGTATTGTCTATACGTTTTTCACATCTAATGTCACCAAGCTTTGATACATATTCAAATATGCAGAACTTTGGCTGTATGCAATGACAGTGAGTAAAAGGCACTCTTACCCAAGTCCAAATGTGAAAAAAAAACAGTGACCTGAATGATTTTTTATTTCATCAACAGGGCGTCAACATTATTCGCAGTAAGAAGAAATAATGGCCCGCTTACGCGTAGTGACCACCCTACTACTTACCTCAATTCAGTCGGTAGGTATGACTATTAGTGTTGGGTTAGCAAGATGAATGTAAAGACATTCAAAACCTGTTATAGCTAGCGTAGGCGCTCACACCAGTCAACAAGACAGATCATGTTTATGCAATCAGGGGAAAGGAATAGGCAAACTTTTTACTTAAGTTCATTGTTATTATCCGCAAATAAGGCGCTAATAGAAATAAATGGATAATGGGTAACAACAGTAATGAATACTTCCTTGCATTTTAAACATATAATTCCATAGTATCGATCACATCAGTACTTTCTCTTCAGCTGCAAACTGTCACAGCGTAAGAAAGCGTCTTGGGAATCTCATAATATTGGTCGCAATTTTTAAAAATATATTTTAGCAAACGCTTTCCCCAAGCCGTTATTGCCATATTCAGTGACGTTCAGTTAAATAAAAAAAACTGTAATCAAGGTATTTCTTGGTATTGGTAGCTAAAATCCTCAAGCAATAACAATAAAATTCCGACTCTCAACATTTTTTTAAGAATGGTTTTCAGAACTGACTCCTCGTTGAAAATAAACAAGAATTGTGGTGCTGAACCCGCAGCTGAATTCGCTAAAGCAGGAGAAGCGACTCATTATTGTGCACATTAACATTTTTAGTGGTGTGCAATTAATCTCACGGTCTATGAGTTGCGTTTGGGCAAAATAGTGTGCTCACTTTTTGTACGCCTCCTAATTAATTCCTAATAATTTGAAGCGTGCCCTAAAATGAGCACCTCAATCACTGTTGACTTTCACTGTTCTATTTGTTTCAGTTTGCGTCACAAGATGCTCATCTAAATGAAGAAGGTATCTTTTTACACAATTCATATGTTTAGAAAGGAACCGCGCAATGAACTGTCTGAAATCATAAAAACAAAAAGGCTAGCCTTTGATAGCCGTGCCCCTCATTTTTTTTTTATATCTTCAAGATCCTGAGATCTTGACATGAATATATTTGAAAGGTGCAGCAAACAAATCAAATAAGCTGCGTACAATAACTTCTTTCCCTCTAATAAGTTCCTGTTATATAAATCACTAATTCGTCCTGTATTTGACTACGCGTCCGTTTTACGGAACCCGTATTAGCAGTGCGAGATTCAAGAACAGGAAGCAGTCCAGAAAAATGCGGTAAGATTCATATGTAATCGTTATGACCGTGATTTCTCCCCCTCTTCTACTCTATCTTCATTGCGAAAACTCCATTTCATTCGCGTCGACGTATAGACTCATTAAAATTCTTGCAAAGCATAGTCTTCTCCACAGTTAAATTGTCAAAAACGAGGAATACATAAACTTCACCCCCACATTCAATGACGAGAAACTATCCCAACCTAAATTTGAGGCCTTGCGTTCGAACTAATATGTTCAATTTCAGTTTTTCTTTTGTTCCATCGAAGGCTGGGATTCATTACGTGGTTCTGTTCATCCATGCCTATCGCAGAGTTTTGTAGCCAAAATCTTCAACACTTATGTCAGAAATACGCTGATCTGTTTGAAAGTAGTATTTGCTTTTATATCGTAATATTTCTGCTTTATTGTTTGTACGACGTTTTTATGTTACCTGTTTGCATTATTCCAATTGTGTTAGTTATATTCCTATGTATCCTTATATCCCCACTTCTGGGATACAGCAATTAGTGCTGCAGTATGCTTAAATAAACAAATGAATAAATACACTTCAAGTTCCAGCTCATTAGGTACATACTATAGAGGACTTCGTTTTTAGGCTGTGGAACTGCTCCGGCAGCCGTCGTGAATGGAATGTCGGCGAGACCGCACGAGTTTCCATGGGCGGTAAGACGACAACCTTCAAAGAATATTTCATGCCAACACTGTTTTTTTTTAATCTGGCTATGTGTACAATTTCAAATTTACTCATCCAAGTGGCACTTTACTGCACCTACTGTATCTATTCATTTTCCCACTTGACAGATGTGGCTACGAAACTATTGCACACTCCAAGCGTTAGCCACTTACGAGATAAAACTCCGAATATGTGCCCTAACATTCTATACAACTTCATGTTTCGGGCTTTTTCGTTGAGCAACAAGGCGTAATTCCTGCATGATAAGCGTCGAACGATCAACCTGTATACTACAGTGGAAGTGAAGCAGGTTTTCTCGGCCAATGGTAGTGCTGAATGGTGCATCGCTTGCTGCTCGCGACCAACATTATTTCGTAACATCTCGAAGAAAAAAGCAAAAGTGCTAGACTAGCATGCGCTCAGGCTTATACTTTCTATCGACATCCGATATGGGTCAAACTGCGTAGTAATTTCACAGAACGTGTTCATTGTCATGACCAAAGGCATAACCTGCTACATATGCAGCCGAGTGCAAATCTTTAAAAAGCACCGGTGGTGAACTCTGGACATGACCAATCGTCTTGACCAGGTAACGAAAGAACAATGTCACTGTGCTTCTTCATGAACTAAGTGGCCCATTGTTAGCAGTCTGAGTTCCCATTTTTGCGAAGGCAAGCATTTTGCAATAGGTGCATCTGCAAGTGATTCGCTTTCAAAAATATTGGATGATATTTATGTTAAAAATGTCATAATGTCATTTCGAATAATCCAAAAATAATTGCAACTGGTCACTTTGTTGTTGCTTAAGGTGACGAGGCTGAAACTTCACGTTAACTTCTTGAAATATGCATTCTCCAAACGGAAATTAATTATGTATCTTCGTGCAGTTCTTTGGGAGGTGCCAAAGGACTGCTACTTCCCGAGACCTCTCATATGCGCTTTGCCACTAAGACAATGACATAGCGAAAAGAATGAATCGTCAAATAACATTTTGCACAAATCTAGGTATTACGCCAAGATATCGACGCGTCTGATCATACGGTACATTCATAACGTAAAATGATGTGCTGCGAGGGACCGCGCGTCATGCTTATGAACCAACAAAGGCAAAGGCGCGTAATCAATAGGTCACCAGACTAACGAACGCAATGACAAATTCTTTTTAAAACATCGGCTTCCTTAACATTGCCAGATTTACTTGGAACTTCATTTCCCGTCATTCAAAAGTGCATGCGGAGGCAGCATCATCACAAAGCGTCACGTTCTCACAGCGGCCCACTGCACGATTCAGTAAGTTTTCCTTTCTTGCTTCTTCATAATGAACAGCTTAGTACATTACACCAAAGTACCCGGCTACATTGCTCTGCTGTGAAGCTGCAACTCATTCATTCAAATGTGCAGTAAAGTTTAGTACACGTTAAGCCCTCCAAGGGCCGTGTGAACGATTATTCATAGACATGGAAACGTTGCAGCAAACTTGAAAGCACTGATCAAAGGTATGCTTCAAACGCGCCGCCTGCATTTAGATGCATGTATCAGTAGACCATCATACTAGGCTTAGGGTACACGACGAAACAGTTATTTTTTGGTACAGAGGCTGTTTTTTTTTCTAAATGTGGCTGTGTTACTGAATTAGGCGTAAGTTAGCACCTCTTCGGAGAAAAAGTTTACGTACTACTTTACATATATCTTTTCTCCACGTAAAGTGCTACCATTCTCAAAACTCTACAAAAGTAAGCCAATAGTTTGAAAAAAAAATTATGTCTGTTTTCCTGCAGGGTGTTCTTTGAATGTAGGTTCTAACTGCCAGTGAAATGAATTGAAACTATATTTCAAGTACCCTCGATTAACCATCGCAACTAATTCTTATTTACCATCAAATTCTTAACAAAGTTTACGATACTACTGACACACAAATCAAACAAACATCTACTCAGCATTACAACGAATCGTTTTCATTATAATCATAGTTATAAATTTCACTCAGAAAGACTTGGCTCAATTCTGTGCTGATGGCTTCGGCCACCAACACGTTTAATCAACCAAAATGAGGCAGAAAGGATCAGCGATAGCTAAAAAAGTGAATGCCAAAGAGGAGATGAGCAAAAAAAGTAAGCATAAGTGAAAAAAAAGGAAAAGTACCCCGCAAAGAAAGACAAAGAAACCAGTGAAACGAGGGATAAATTGAATTAGAAAGAAGAAGATCACAACCATCCATCATATAGTATGAGAAGTGGGAAATAGAAGAGAGACTGGCGAAGGGATGAGAAGAAGAGGGGAAACGTGATCAGCTTCAATCTTTTCTCAGTCTTCGAATCATTGACACACCTTTTTTTTTTCTTTTCTTCTCATATGGTGCAGGGGTGGCACAGAAATTGCCGCCATTTACATTATCTACGGTCACGCCGACATAAGCCGGGCTGCCAGGGTCAAAGTTGCAAAACTTTTGCGACATCCGCAGTATGACGACAAATCGTTATTCAACGACATCGCTGTCCTGCTGGTAACAATGCTCAGACACTCATCTTACATACAATAGTTACGTGCAATAGCATTAACCAATAGAAACTTCGGGCATGGCTTTGAGCATGTCAGTACCCCCCCCCCCCAAAAAAAAAAAAAGCGGGCAGCATGTATCGCATTTGAGTAAAAGCCCTGAATGTCTATGTTATGAAGTCGTAACTAAAAACTCACGTGGCCTTTTATGCGTTTTTCTAACATTATTTGAAGGCAAAAGACATCTCTTTTTCCATGAATTGTGGCAATTCTAAAAACCCTTCTGAAAGCTTTCTGCACATGACGTGTTGTTTCATGCGTCTGCGATCACTTCTACTTTTATCACGCGACAATGTTCGGTGATGAAGTCACAGTAACTTTGTGCGATTCCACGAGGAGGTAACAATTTTTTACTCGTATAAATTCATGCAATGATCCTTTTTCACCTTATTCGTGTAGATGCCCACGGTCACTTTTCGCGCATATATAATATATATATATATATATATATATATATATATATATATATATATATATAATATTATATATATATATATTATAATATATCACGCTAGCATGAGAGCTTCATCTCTGAATGATGAATAAGTGATGTTTCTAGAAAACTCTCGTGGAGAAAGGGTTAAAATTTATTTCTTCCAGTGGTTCTTTCTTTTGGTGTTCTCGTACTAAATTTCAGCCGAAGGAACTTTTGCGATGTCTATGTGTTTTCCTATGTCACACGAAACACATTATTCCTTGGTTTACCTATTTCCAGCCTGTTTTTATATTCTATTCGTTCGTTGTTTTACCCTTGATGATACCAGTGAGTTATTTTGTATGCTGTCTCAAAACGTGTTTAGAATATGAAACAATTTTATTTCAAAAACAAAATACAACCTCGCTTTGTGACCTATCCCCCGAAATCGGCATCATGAAGTCACATACCGCCAAAATTTGCGATAATCACGACGTCACTATGACCTCATCACACGACGGCAGCGCAGGTGTGAAATGTGGGCACTTCTCGAAGGCAGCGCTGATTCATGTGAAACACCTACCATTCTAGAGAAACTCGGGAACAACGTTAGGCTCAGAGCGTTTTCTGTGCGTGGCGGCACACGATCAGTACAATCGACAAAGAAAAAAAAACCTAAATTGATTTTTTGCGCTCTGGCTGTCTAAAGTGTTCATAAATGTAATCATTTGAGTTTGCATTACCCAGGAGCACATCTCAAATAGGTAAATCGAAGTGTTGACTGCCATATCGTTTACTGGCATACCTTACGGCATATCGATGGTGGTATTCGGTGTTTCAGACTAATTAACATTAACGCGCAGTTGTGGGTTGCATTGCCACCTTCAGTCACAGTGAGGAGGACACCGTATTTCCAAATAAGTAACCTATTTCGATTGCCCTCCATGCAGTGCCCTCAAAAAACTAACATTATAAATCAAACGCAAACTTGACACATTTAAGGTGAATTTTTTGATAAAAAAGAAATGCTTTTGTCCGCAGGTGGAAAAGCCATTCCAGTATGGACTTGAGGTCAAGCCGATATGCTTCCCTACGAAACCTCTGAATGCGTACAACAAGAATGCGGTCATCGCTGGCTGGGGAAAACTTTCTGAGTGTATGTTCTGGATTTAGAAAAAAAAACTAGACAAGCTAGAGTATTGAAAATACCCTCATTATACCGGAATGGTAAGCCGTCCTGGATAAGGAACCAACAGCAAAGACCTTGCAAGATGTATGTATAGAGAATAAGTTCACTATTCAAAGTCCCATGCACTCTATTAGCGAAGAGCGTCAGCATTGCTGCAGTTTGCCAAAAGCTTTATGCCCAGGACTGAATAACAGTTTTTAAAGTTTTTTTTTTTTACCATTACCACAGTCGGCAACACCTCGGACTACCTGCAGTTCACGATTGTGAAGATACAACCAAACGAGGTTTGCGAAAAGATCTACCTGGACTCCTACAGGAGTGACAAAACTTACTGCGCGTTCCGCAACAACACCAGCCCATGCTTCGTAAGCACCAACGTTTACTTTGCTACTAGACGGAGATATTTCTGCAATGCCAACTTGCTGTTTTTGTTGTCTAGAGTTCTTCTCTTTCAAAAGCAACGCCTTTGAAACACATGCGGAACACAGCAATGTTCTACGTGTGTTGCTGTGGGTGTGTTGTTCTGGTGTTTGGTGGGTCTTTCTGTGTCAGTGCTTTTGTTCCGCCTTGAATGTATACGTGCTATGAAATCGTCGGTTATAAAAAGTTTCTACGGGGTGTGGTCACCCGTGCGCGCACGCGCGTATCTTGTGATGAGGATGGTTTGCAGGTTTTCAAGGTCACTTCACTCGCTACACAGGCCCTAACTGCGAAAATAGCGTGCTCTTAGAGCACAGTGATGTAACTATTCTGACACTTGTTAGTTCGTGCTCATCCGGTATACCAGCGCAAACGTTTCGTTCTTTCTTTCTATTTCAGCTGTGCGTTCTGCTTCTAGCTTTGAAACGTTGTTAGTGCTCATTCTGGGTTTGTTCTTTTCGTGCATCATTTGTGCTCGAGTAGGGCACTTCACGTTTTGATCTGCTTGCCGCTCTTCGCTTGACATTCGAATTTGTTGCTTCTCATTTATTGCCTCGCCCTTGCGGTATAACTGTGACTTTTTTTTATGTTTCAGCCGTTCGGCCAAATTTAGAAGTGTTTGGTAAAGGACAATTCTTTCAATGCAAGCAGTTATTAAAACTTGCATTTATGGCCACCCATTAATCATTAACTCCACTTTTTCAGGGTGACTCCGGCAGTCCCCTGTTCTTGCTAACTAGCAAGAAGCTCTACGTGCAAGTGGGAATTGTGTCCCATGGATTTAGTTGTGAATCGCCAGTCGTCTACGCCAAAGTAGAAAGCTTCATAGACTGGGTGGGCAATGCTACTCGTTCGCTCAAAGGTTACAGGGACCTGGCTCGACGGTAGCGTCGAGCTTGTCCTGAGAGCGGAAGTTGGCTTTGCGATTTGTTTCTGACAATAAACTTTTTTGTAAGGTTCATGTATGTTCTTCAAGAAAGATTCTTAATGGTCGTGTACTTTCTTCTTTTCTACTATTGCTTTTAATTATAGCTTTTCAACTCCCTCTGCACAGGGCAACAAAATACATATGGCAATCAAGGTAACCTCCACGGAGACAGTCCTGCTCCACTCTCACCACCATCACAACATATCTTCAAAGCTATCAGCCCAAAGAAAAAAAAAGCGACGCACCACCACCGGGTGGGCTCGAACCTCCGACTTTCGGTTAACAGCCGATCGCGCTAGCCGATTGCGCCACGGAGACAGTCGTGCTCCACTCTCCCCACCATCAGAACATACCTTCAAAGCTATCGGCGCAAATAAAAAGCACTACGCCACTCCCGCGAGGGCTTGAACCTCCAAATGTTCGGTTAACAGCCGATCGCGCTTGCCAATTGCGCCAGGAGACAGTCCTGCTCCACTCTCACCACCATCAGAACATATCTTCAAAGCTATCAGCCCACAGGAAAAAAAGCGCCGCACCACCACCGGGTGGGCTCGAACCTCCAACCTTTCGGTTAACAG